CAAGTAAGAGAAATCTTAATCTATATTTGAAATGTAATGAAAGAGTCTTTCTGATAAAAATTCAATTAGAAATAGTTCATATTGGATTCTACTAGAACATTATAAAAACCAAGTTTACCATTACGGGCCCAATCAAGATCTATTCATTGTCCAGTCTTTGAACATTGGTATTGATTGTTTAAGCAAGTTCATTGTTGACAATATTTTGATGATTTTTCGGCTGTTGTTGATAAATCTCAGAAAGTATCATAATGGTTTCGATAGAGTATTACTTATCTGTAAGTAATATATTTTAGAGTTTGTATCGTTTTCTTTCTGTTGTCATTACAATATGATATCGAAATAGTAGAACATTATTTATCGTTTTATTTGAAAACATGTTGTAGCGTAGAAACGTATGGATGAACCACAGGTAAATTCATCATAAAAATTGAAAAAGTCATTATTTCATGTAACGCTACATTCTGATAGAAGACACATGGGTTTTTCACAGAATATCGTAATCGATATTTATGTCTTTTAGCAGCTGATTCAGGATAGTCGTGTTGGTTTTCATCGAGTGAATGATAACTAGAATGACGATGTGTACATTTTCGGCTAACATCGAGAAAATTACAAGGATTTGTTGGGATTCAGTGTGTGTATGCTTTTTGTATGATCTGTTCCTAATTCTAAACCAATTTGATTATTTTAGATAACATCTCGATAACCATGATATTTAACACCTTCCTTAATGGTATGGATTGCTGACATTTCAGTTCCAAACAAAAAAACGATCTTTTGTAGAGTAAAATGAAAAATAAGAGCGATAACGATCCCGTGAATAACGAGTAACATTCTGATAAAACTACAAATAAAGTATGGGTATGAGGATTATATATGAACATCATTGAATTCGATGCTCAAGCTCTGATTGTTAATGTTATAATAAATAACATAAAACGCTCATTGATAAAGTCAACTCTACATATGCTCAATTGTTATTTATACAAAATATATCAATTTATTGTTTTATGTCGACTTGCTCGATAGTTAACAAATGACTATACTCTCATCTAAACTTTATTTATTACATGATAAATAAATTAATTGATTGAGTCTTTTGTAATGAAATTTCTAGATAAGTTATGCCGATTTGTATTCTCTAAGATATAGAAAAACGAGCGTGCGCAAAAGATTATATTCCGAAGTTAGTATAACATCACAGATAAATGTTTATATCTTTTTGTGGTATATTATTTATGAATATTTTCGAAAGTTTTGTCGATTTAATGTGAAAATGTTTCAATTGAATCATAATATTTCGATCGTATTCGCATAGGTTGTTCATAATAAACTTGAACAAGACCACGTTTTAAAAATAAATATTAAATAAAAGAGTAGCAAAAAAAAAACAATAAACACCGATTGCAGTAGAGTCGCCTCGGATAATGCAGATCAAAAACTTGAAGTTTCATTTTGTTTTTGTTCATTCTCAAAACTTTTACCTCATCAAACGATCATTTTTGAATTACAATTAGTTTAAAGTTTTCCCTACTAACTGACGGACAAATTTTTGAAAAATAATGTGCTACAAATTATTAATAAAAATGGCAAAATAGGTATCGATCTAGTTCGAGTTAACTCACCTGCGGTAATTCGGATTACTCCAAGTACAATTCCAACTAGTACTTCTGAGAGAAAAGTTGTTCATCTCTCATTTTTCTATTACAGTGTGAAAGATAATACAGAAGTCAACGTAACCGATCAAATATTCTCCTACTTAATGAATTGAGAAAAAAAAAGCGCTCTTTTATAATACATCTCTTCAATTTTTCACAAAATGTTTCAAAGTCTAGAACAGACTTTAAAAGAAAAAAAAGTTGAGTGTTCCAGATTTAGAAACATTTGAACTATAAGATCACATACAAATGTCTTCAAAAGAAAAGCACTCGGTCTAAGAAATTCTGAGGAGATTGTTATCGAAACATGATTTTCGGACTTTTTCACTTGATATTTAGTAGATTTCAGTCATAGGAGAGTTTTGATGATATACAATTTTCAGTAAACCCTGAAATATACTAAAGGTACGTTTATCAACGAAAAGAAAAAGTTGTCAGTATGGCCTCGTGAAAAACCAAAGTATGGAACTCACAAACTCTGACTATTATAAATGTATGATATATTGTCAGAGGTTGTAAAATAATCTCTGAAAATTTATCATTTCAAAAATATTTGCACTAAGAATTACTCTTCTATCGATTTATGTAACATAGATATACTATAAAAACTCATTTTTATTGTCGAATACATCTTCCATGTCTAATTTGTTTTCCTCCAATGATAATATATGTGTATGCATGATGGATACCATACGAAGTGGCAACTAGAATTTTACTCTTTGTTTTATTGTTTCAACTATCATGTTAGACCAATACAAATATTGATTTAACTGTGCTTTTTAATTCATAGTTTTGTATTTTGGTCTTAATTTGACGTCGCTAGATTAAAACCAAGACGACCATAATGATTCACTCTTACAATAAGACCCTTTCGCTGCATTAAAAATAGAACCCGTTATATTTAATCTAGTTAGCATCTATAGCGTTTCAAAATTATCTAAACTCTGATATTACTTATGCACTTTTTATCTTTTCTAAGAAAACCTACACAACAATCTACAGCTTGGAAGAGCCGCAAAAACCTCAGTATAAACGTACACTCACTATTATTTTCGTTTGAGAATATACATAAATGCCACAAAGTAGTTTGTTTGTACTTAAGTACAAGTACCGGAACAAATATACTTGTGAAAAGACTAGCTATCTTGACTTGTCATTTATATTTTACAATACTGAACACAAGAGAAACGTATTTACTGATACTGAAAATGAAATATCGTGTGTGTATTGACATAAAAAGTTTCTTGTGATTAGATGTGTTATGCTTATACAAGATAGTATGATTTCAACTGTGTCGACGTTACAAGAAGGCTACATTACTAAGGAATATTTTCTATTTTGCTGTAAGTGTGTTTAAAAAGAAATTCATCTCAGATTTCTTTTATACTGAAGTTCGATTCTGCGCCATACATTTTTCAAAAATATTCTTTTCCTCTTTTATAACTAAATCACACTTGCTAGATGCACAACACAGAAGAAAAAACTTGGTATGATTGGTGTTTTCAAGAAATTTTTAGTGAAAACTGCAAATTCTAGTAGCTCCAATATTCTTGAAAGTTCAATATTTTCTTAATGTTGTTGCTATTAAAAAACGAAATGTTTATCATGCAACATATAGAGATAATAAGAAAATTATTCAGATGTAAATATATGTCACAGTTGACATGAAAATTCAGTTTAGTTGGAAATGTGCGAAATACTTAAAACGATAATTTTATCATAGAAATAGATCGATAAACAATGTGAGTTTATTTATTTGAACAAGAGTTTACAAAACAGATTCATATTAAACACAACAATTTTAAAAAATATTTTTGTTTTTGAATTTTTTTTATTTTACTTGTAAAGAATCAATGATTTTTGTTGTTTACATTTCATTTTACTGAATTCTTCGTTATTTTGATTATTATGAGTCATACATTAATTGATGTTTATTATTGCATTCAAATTTTGATATAAACAGAATATAAGATAATTACTTGGTTTAGAATTATTCATTGCATCATTTTGAACATATTTATCTATTTTAATGACAACCATAATGTGTCATATACCATCAATTGCTCTGTTTAGAGAAAAAACTTCAGTTTCATTTTCATTAATACTTATAATCATTTATTATGCTCTCATATCTTAATAATAAGGCATATGTATAATATAGGGCACTTTTATTTTTCAAAATCTCTCTCTCACTTAGTCCCTGCTTGTCTTACATTCGATTCAATCATGTTAGAGAAATATGAAATATCAATATTGAACTCGATTTTTTAATATTTAATCATTTATTTGAAAATTCTGCATGGAGATCATTTTACAACAATAACTTGAAATAATTCTATTTATTAATTGTTGAAAATTCGTGAATTATTCAATTCTCTATGACCAGAAAAGAAAAATAATAAAAATTTATATTTTTAGGTAAAAGAAAACACTTGCTTTTTGGAAAAAAAGAAAATATTTTGTCCTTCAATAGAATTTAACCAATCATTCAAGGTCTTCATATCCCATTCATGCGAAAAACATAATAACAAAAATATATACTCATTGTAGAAAAATAAAAAAAAATACTTTCTCACTGTACAAAAAATGCTTTGATTTCTATACTTTAACGAAACTTTTTATTTGAAACTTAAAAATACTGCTTCAATTTAAACTAGATTTTAAACTTGTTTGCTATGTGCGCTTTCTCCTTTTACAAATCAGTTTATTTTTCAGTTGATTCACTGTTTATTTTGTGTATCATTCAATATGTATGCATGTGACGTTGAGAAATCAAAATAGAGAGCAAAAGAAAAACAAACAAATTTTCGTCTACTCTTTTTTTCTTTTTGGTCACACATGAATAATCTTTTTTTTTAAATGTGTATTGTCTTAACTGTCTCTCATCCAATAGTTACCTTTCATGATATTGCTTTCTCTTGATAGTTATTATTTACATTTTTGATGATAGTCAACACGTTAATATATTTTTATTTCTTTCTTCTTCTCCTCTTTGAAACAATGGATAAGCGACGTCGTTTTTTATTTGAAGAGGATAAAAAGAAATGTCATGC